TTTTTCTATTTCCCGCCTGGTAGTGCGTAATAGAAGATAAAATGAAATTTTATAGCAATATCGCCGAATTAAAGAGTGACACCAGTCCAACAGAGAATGTGAATCGGGAAAAGCCTTACTTCCCTTGCAATTCACGTCCTATCTCTGAGCCACTAGCACCAAGGCTGCCTAGTTGAGTGATAAATTGTTGCCGATTGAGGTAAATGACCCAATTTCGAAACTCTTTTGGAAGCACTGATGAAAATCAAGATTTAAATAGAAGTTAAGCCAAGATGAGACAGCGTGTTAAAAGTAAGTTTAACGATATAATGAATCCTTTTATTCAGTTCATTGTATTAAATGTAACTGTCAGATCTTCTATCACCTGATAGTAGCTAAGATTACCTTAGTTATTAAGAAGATTTGGCACAAGCAAGATAAAATACAAATACTAAAAATAAAACATGTCAAGAAACGGAATTATAAGCAGACTGATATGAGAGTAAGTGAGCTTGGTTTAGAGATTTAATAAGTGATAAGCAACCATGTGCAGAAATGAAAAACCAGGAGTTAATAAAGCCTAGGTCTCACACAGTTAAGACGAGAACGGGGTTGCCGTCTAAGACAATAGAATCATGGCTACAAGGAATCAAGGTAGCATTGCTGCTTGATCCACACGCTTAAATAAATTACATCATAGAGAAAAAATTCCTCTTATTTCACAGAACTACCAACAAGGCTAAAGCATCACAGATTTATTTTCTGCCTTAATACTATGACCTCTAATATTCGGGACATTAGCAGAACAAGATTCGCGGAGCCCTTATAGTGTTGAAGATGGTGAAAAGCGAGATCAGGAGAATGTTGATGACGATGACGAAGCTACTTACTCGGAGGTTATCTGTCTGGGTAGCCGACAATTAGAGTAGATGACCAAATTCTGCTCAACTTCATCTCCGGCTAAGTCATCGTAAATTTGCTCACACAATACAGCTCCTTCTGGTCCGGCAGAAACCGGACGTGTCGGAAGTCCGGTCATCGCGAAAGATTGGTTTGCAAAGGTCGAAACAGACGAATCCCAAGCTTGCGGCCAGGCAGAGGATACCTCAGTGCACATCGCCATAGGAGCGGAAGTAGTGGTCGTAGTTGTAGCAAACCCTTCGGGGAAGGCAGGACCCAGCGGAACGAACCAGGCGGCAGTGTTACCTGAGCCAAACCAGTCCTTATGCCCAGGGCCATCAGTACCTGAGTCTGCCATATCAGATGATGACGGCGATGAGATGGAGGATAGATTATCGGAAAGCGATGTCGCAAAAGAAACCTCCATTGCTACAGCCGATTCACATCCATTAATGACAGCAGCAGCATCTTTAAGCTGACGAGTGTCCCCTGTTATGGATGGTTCCAGTCTCCCTAATTGCAAGGTATCATCACTCGGTTGATGAGGCGAGTGGGACATAGAAACCTGCCTCTCTATCTCTTCACTTTTACCTCGCTTATGCTCCTCATTTTGTTCCTCTTCTTGCCCTTCTACTTCTTCTTGTTCCTCCTCTTCCACTTGTTCAATGATGGTTTCTGGCCAGTAAATTCCCGGAGGAGCACTAAAGTACTGTTTCATACGTGCACCACAGCCTACCGGGCGTCGGGGGACCGCTGCCTTAAGCGCCGCCATCCTGACGTCCAAGAAGCTTGTGACAGCGGGCGAAGACAATGATGGTGGGGGCGGAGGTGAAGGTGTTGGGTGTCCAACAAGACGCTTCGACCAGTTTGAGATAGATGGTGAGGTGGAAACTGAAGTAGTATTCCAAATTCCTGTGCCAAAGCGCAATGAAGCCATTTCTGCGGCCCAACTACTATTTGTGGGATTTCGTTGGCCTCCAGATACCATGTTCCTCGATATCACATGTTTGGCCGTCAGGGACTGCACTTTCGGCGTTGTGGTTGCCACAAGAGCATTGGAGGCAGTCGCAACAGTTTTAGAAGTACCTATTGACTCTTCATCTTCCTCAGGAATACAGTCGCTGCCGCGTAGTCCGTTTGCTAGCCAGAAGGCCTGTGCTAAAGGGCTGATATGGCTCCTACCGACAAGGCGGGGTGAATGTGTGCTGCGCATAGGGGAACTAGGCAAGCTACCAGCAGGGACCACGGAAGTTACCGCTGAAGCAACGAGAGGTGGGCTAGAACTAGCTTTTGTCGCAAAATTTTGCGGTGGATTTTCAACAGGAGAGGGATGATGTAATGGGTTCGGATTGGGCCACTGCAGGGAGTCTTCAAATGTGATTGCAGTTGATGAGATGGTTAGAGGATTAATACGGCGCCGATTGAGACAGGAGTTTGCTGCAAATCTAGCTAGTCCTTCCGGAAGTACAGTCTTCCCGGACGCCAAGCCGGTCGTTGCACCGGGACTTGTGCTTAGGTTAGAATTGAAGCTAGATGAAAATGTCGGGTCTGATACAGAGTCTGGAGAACAGGAGGTATTGTTGAAAGAGCCAAAAGTCTCACGAGGAGGTGACGAATTGGAGGCAGTGCGTCGCCAGGTGGAGGGTTGAAATAAAATGGGATTACGGTACCGGTTTGAAATTGAGCGAACGGGAAGCAGGTGACCGGGTTCACTGTTGGTGGAATGCTGGTTGGGATTGCTGGATTGACTGAGTGGAGAACGCGCCTCGAACCCGAGGCAATCGAACCGGGGCGAGGAGGGCATACAACCTGTCTTCAGGCAGCGCATGATGGGCTCGAAAGTTGGCGGAGGAGACTGTGGTAAGGGTGATGAGGCAAGGAGTGGCGGAGGAGGGGAAGAGGAAGTATTGGTGGAACGGTGTTTCTTTGCCCCCTGGCGAAATGGTTGACTTGGCCGGAACTGCAGCATCATGCTGTGGAGAGGAGAATCCAGTTCCGGAAGCTGTGAACGGTTTGGCTCACCTTGAATCTACTACGAGAACCAAAGAAAGGTTGACACTTTAATCCATCTAAGCAAAGAGGACAGGAATAAGATAAGCGCTTCGAGTATACAGCAGATAGACGAAGATAGGGCAGACAAAGCACAAAACGGAGGCACAGTTGAAGCGCAGCGTGGCGGTTGTAACCTCGAAAGAGAGCATAGGCAGGGGGCTGCACGAAAAGGGACTAACGGTCCGAACAGTT